ATTATTAGAGAGCATTTAGACAAAAAAATATTACAGGGAAAAACACAAGTGAGTTTCTAGAGGATACATTACATTGGCAAATCAATGAAATTAAATGGCCAAAGAGGACATGACACATTCATTTTCTTGGTAAAAGCAGGCTTTATAAAGGTGATGAGTGGCTACTTTTTATTAAAAAAAATTAGCCGAACTGAATTTCAAAGCATGTCAGAATGGTTACGCAACAGTTACCTGCATCACAGCAGCCTTTTTGCCAGTTCTTTTGCTTGTAATAGAAAGAAAAAAAAACCCTACCCTTGAAAGAAAACACTGTAGGCATTTTTAAGCTCCTGAAACACATGTAGCTACAGGAGACGTTGTCTCCTTCCCTCCACTGTGCTCCAACAGTGTTAAAGTGACATGTACCTCCTTGTCAAGGTGCTCACGTTGGTAAGCACATTCTTAGTTTCAAGAATCCTCTTTCCCATTGCCCTTGTTTGTTTTTTTCTTCTGCCTCATTTTGCATACATAAAGTTAGGCCATGCGTAAGAGTCTCTGAAAATCCTGCCTGTGCTTGTATTTTTCAACAGGTTTAGACTGATAGCTGTACCTGTAGAGACCATAAAACACATCAGTGGTCTGTATGGACATCAAAGGTGTCCCACTCATTTTGGGTGGTACTGCACAGAGCTGATACCACCTAGCAGCTGGGAATCAAGGCAACTGTGCATATTGGTGCTTCTTCCTACACAACATGTAGGAAGGCTTGAAGACCCAAATATTACATACATAAATTCAGGATTCCATTTCAGGGATCAAAAATTTCTGAGAGTTACACTCACTGTTGCAGTCAAAGCAAATCTACTGTTTTTCTTTTCTGGAGGTACCCTAAAACCAAGAATCAGGAACACCAATTTATATGCCTGTTGCCTCTAGAAATTCAGTTTGCGTAAAGACATGAATCGCCTATGCAGACCAGAGTCAAATCCTGTCCAACAAGTCCTTTTCTTCTGGTATAAGAAGGCTGTGAAATAAGAGCATGACTCAGAATTTCAGCTAACAGCTAAACCACGCCTTCTGATTTTATTACTTTGGGGGGCTATTTTATTGCTTTTGTCCCTATACTTTGAAAACAAGAGAAGAGTGATACAATATTTCACGCAGATCAAGCTGCCACAGGCAATCATCTATGATGGTATTTACATCCATTGAAAGGGTGGTTTGATTTGAAGGGAAGATGTAGATGGCTTTTTTTTTCCCCTGTTGAAAAAGCTGAAAGAATAACTGGTTTTTTAGTTGAGTTAGTTTCCAAGTATCAGGGGAAAAAAAGGATATGTTGGGCTTAAAACCTGTTGTGATTTTAACTTGTCTTTAAAAACACCTTTTGAATGATAAAGACAGAAATAGACTTCCAAATGAAACCCTCCACAAATACTAATATTTGGACATTTCCACTTTATTTTATTAATTTGTTGCAATTGAGAACATTAATCATCGACTTTTGTTTATCTGCATTTTTGGGCAATTTCTCCATTCCATTTTGAGTATTGCTTGTTTCCCCACCCTCAAATTTTCTTCACAATTTGCCAAACTGTCTGTGGAGAGGCTGGAGTGCTGAAGGTAAAGAGCAAATCGTCTTTATTCCATCAAAAAAAAAATCTGAAAATACAGTTTTATCCAACTCCTTAAAATCAGATTTGCTTTTAAAACACAGATGCCATCAGTTCTTGATTAAATAAAGATCCTACTTTCTTCTGCCCCTGCTGGAGATATGTATTACATCTTCTGAAACAAAAGTGGACAAATGGCTTATTCACATTTTGCTTCCACCTCTCTTCCCATACAGGTGAGGGAATGCTGCTGCTATATGCTGCTCTCAAATCTCTTAGCAACAACCATTTTGGCAAAAAATTTAGTGTGTGACCTCTTCTCAGCTATCATTGAAAGGGTAAATAGTTTGAAAGTGACCACTGCTAGCCCTGGATTATACCAACAAAAATCTTAGAGCACAGCAAGAACTTGTATATTAATGCAGAGACAGGCCTCATTTACATCATGTACACTGACTACGTTTGTAGCTGAAGGCATGTATCCAGCTGAAGGACCATCTCAGATGGAACAAGCAGGAAGAAAGACATTAGCTTACATACTTGCTTTGAACTTGCTGCTAAACTCAGAAGAGCTAAGAAAAGCATGTAATTTGATAGTCTCTTACAAATTCTGCATAAATCTGTAAAACACACTGCACATCTCAAGTATTACAGACAGGACCCCAAAGCTAGATCAACTCATGTGTGTCCCAAAGCAGATACGCTAAAAGGAATGAATGTAGCTGGAACCTTGGTGAAGAGGGCAGCACTCACACCAACACTAGATCTAAAAGCTCTACTCTAACACAACCAAAAGTAAAGTCTGATCTGTAAGGCAGTCTGTGAAACAACACAGACAGATAACTGCAATGGTTTCCAGCAGGCCTCATACCCCGAAGTTTCCTGCCTGGTCTATTGTCAGTTATTGCACATCAAAGCTTGCCTTTTAAGAGGCATGGGTAAGAAGCCAAGTAATTCTTCACTGGGTGGGAACATTACACTGGGTCTGTCCTTCTTCAGTAATATTTATCTTCTCGCAAACAGCTCTCTTCTTCAAAAATGGAAAAAAAAAAGTCATAAAAACAATGTACAAAAACGTAATTAAGTTTGTATCAGGAAGAATAGAGTGCATAAGAATTCTTCATATTCCAGAAAATAAAAACTTTCTACAGCAATTCAGTATTTTGCAGTTTTTAGTGGTACATCCTGCTAAAGCCACCTATTGATCACTCATTTGAGCTAAAAATTGAGTACCTAGATTTAAGATCCAAGTGAAAAACAGAAATACATTAACAGTACACTTATAATTAAAAAGGTCAGAAAAGGTTTTTTTCATCCCACATTCATTTACATTTTTGCATGGGCAAAAATAGCAACTCTGGGCAAAGCAGAGTATTACTTCTTTTGGAAGGTAAAGCAAGTATACATGAAGAATCAAAACATGTTCATTCTAACTGATGGGAAGAGAACCAAAAAATAGCCCAAAGCAAATGGCTTTTCCACCACAGAATAGCTGCTGTAAGTTGACAGCATTCTTTCTCACCCTGCTTGAAGTTACAGATCTGAGACTCTGGCATAGACTAGAACTGTAAAACTCTCAGCAACGAAAGCAAGAGTATTTGACACAAGTTAATATTCTAGCACAATATCTAGTACTGTTCTGAGAACTCACTATCTTCCCTCTTGCAGAATATATAAAGGCACATCCTCCATTTCATATGACAAAATGCCTTCCCTAAAATTTTATTCCTAAGAAAACGTTATTGCCCAATTTCACTGATACATCTGCAAGTGTTGGTCTCCAACATGCACTGAGTTACTAATTTAAGACAACTGTGATGGAATAGTTGGCTTCAGTTGAACACCTTTGAAAAGGCCAGTTTTATGTATTAGAAGTTGGAATTAAAAACTTGACTGGACAAGGGCCTGCACAGTGTGGTCTGAAGCCAATGTTGTCCTTGCTTAGAGCAGGAATTTGGACTAGACGATCTGCCAAGATCCTTTCCAATCTGGATGATTCTCTGATATGGCTCTCTTCATACTTGTAGAAATTTTAAAAATATAAACCTGGAACTGAATATTTTACTCAAGTTCTTGCATGGAGTTTAATTCAACATGTTTGTGCACTCACGAAAGTTGAGGAACATGAAAAAGCCACTCTGAAGTCTATACAATAAAATATAACACACAAACCGGGATTCCTTTACATGCCTCTTCAGTGAATTACTTCGAAATATTTACAGTGAATTCTCATTTTATTTAATTGCTTCCATTCTATACACTAAATTTGCAAATAACAATATTTCAAAATAAAACCAGTTCCCAAGTTCACTATACTTTCCATTTCAACACTTAGGCATTTAAAATACATGAAAGCTAGATTAATAGCAAAGTAGACCTGCAAATGATTTAAAGTCAGAACTTATGAACAGCAACACCTTTTAATTATTTTGCCACGACTACTTTCCATAAGTGATAACTACTATACGATTAATGCTTAAAATGCACATCAATTTACAGTATTCACAAAGAATGCCACATGAAAGTGTGAAAAAGGCAGCAGCCTCTCATATAATTTAAAAGCAACTCTCCACATGCTTGTTTTATTTGCTAAAAATCATCCCCTCCCAACTTTCCTGATATTTACTGATGAAATCAAGGAAGACTAAGTTATTCAGAATGATCAGAACTCATTTTCAGTCTGAAAGTCCCGATTTACCTGGGGAAGAGGGCAAAAATGGTACATTTCAGTAGTTCCCTTGCACATAAACAGACTTAACTCTGCTCCACAAAATATCTAATCCAGCAGAGACTTTAATGAAGGACATCAGTGCTAAATAGTAAGTAGATAATTGTGTACATATCTCTCTGATATAACAAAAGAGAACCTCTAGAAATAGCCAATTAATTTTTTACGCTTTCAATACACTTGGAACACTGACACTACATACATTTGTAAAATTATTCTACTCTTACATGAAGTAGCAGAGTAAAACTAAAGCTTGAAGTTATGAGTGGAAAGTTGACTAAAAATGGCACTTACACATGCACACATCAGTTTCTAATTTGCTTTATTCACACACTTTAGTTACTGTAAGCCTTGCAAACAAACTGCAAGACAGTCAAACTTGCATTCTGTGCAACTTTGCCCAAACCCAAGTTTTTGTTATTTTGTACAAAGCAAGATTCCTCTTCGTTGTCTTCTGCCACACTGCAGCAAAGTAAGTCTTCTATGTATCTGTAAATTATGACACTTACGTCTACTTAAGTTGCTTTTACAGTTTCTAGTTTGCTCACAGCTCCATTAACAGTGAAGTTGAAAACATTTTTAAAAGACCAGTAAACCCATCAGTCTCCCACTTGCAAGTTCTTACAACTTATGAAAATATATTCCTTTGAACTGGCTAGCAGTCCAAATTAAATATCAGATGTGATGTTTATAAAGCAGATATTAAGAATTCATATCCATTTCTTAAGTCAGTTCACTGGTAAGAGGAAAGGTAAATCTTCATTCCAACCACATTTGAAATCCGATTCCCTTCTCTATGACTGTACATTATATATTCAATTTGTGTCTACAACTTTAAATTTAAACAGTACTTTTTTAATTACACTTAGGAATCTATATCCCCATTTTTAAAACAAGTTCTTTTACAGTGTAAGGAGAATCCACAGAGCAGATTCTTCAAACTTCATTTTCTAAGTAATTTTAAACAATAATCAGGTTAGTAAGTTAATCATGTCCACTGTGCTAGATCCGCACCTGAACAGATTAAGAAACGTTTTGAAGCAGTGTTGAGTAAATAATTTTGGTAAGCTGTAAAACTGCCACATGCAAGGTATACTGTACTATAACAGCTCCAAATCCTTTATAAAAACCTAGCATTCCTTCTTCCCGTTTTATAGTATTTATGCAGTCTCTCATTCCCTCATACTGAGTATTGATCGGAAGCACTTCATAGCCAAGGTCTGTATTGTCAATTATTGTGCGTGTCCCTTGAATATGAAGGCGGTGTAAAACTGTCTCCAGTGGGTAAAGCATGACATCAGCACAAAGGCTAGCAGCAAAGCTAGCAATAAGTTCTGGAAAATACGCATCCAGCATGCTCTGCACAGAAGTGGAGCTCTCAGTTGGAAGGTTGTGGGAATTATCCCTTTTCAGAACAAACAAAACAAGCTTCTGGATGATGGAACTGATGACGTAGTGAAGAACTCCATGTAGAGCAGATGGAAAAGTCAAGACCATCAGAGGAAGGAGACGCTTGCTATGGGGTACTCCCATGCCTACAACTCTGCCGATTCCTTCTTTCACGCAGTCCAGGATGCCAGGATTATCTCGGATTATTTCACTCTACAAGAACAAAGGAATAGTTACAATCTGTGCTGCTCATTTCATAACCATGCTGACATCCACTTTGACACTTCATCACTGCTGAACTTTATAAGAGTTAAACATTTGCACGCTATCCTATCTACACAGCTATACTGATATAAATTCTTTGCTCTAACACGCTTGATAGCATTCAAGTAAACTTGCTTTTAAAAATGAACCCATCTTAAAGAGTATTTATTTAATGTATTTTCCAGTTATTTGTGTAACTACCAAAGAAATTCAAGTTTCAGCCTGCTGCTGAAAGTATCAGTCTGCAAAACAGTCATGGACTGAAAATGCCTACTTCTGGAGCAAAATGCCAGGAAGTATTTATCTAATTTAAAAGTCCTTTTCTTTAAAGACTAACTCTAGTCCTTGAACTTGAATGTGCATAAGACAGACTTCCATAACTAAAGTTGAGCTGAAAGATCATCTTTAATTTGAATTTAATAGCTTCAGCTCTGAACGTTTCCATTCCAATATCTGCATCTAAAATAGCACTCTTTATTTTGCTCATGTAGTGAAAATAAAGTATTCACTTAGTAATTATTTACTCCGTTATATTCCACCTATGACTGTAGGATTAAGCTAAAGACATTGTTTCCCCTTCTAATGCTTATACAAACTCAGTGTTTTATCATCTCTGTTACACGCAAAATTCAGGATTTCGGAGTTCTCCTCAATACCCAAGTCTCTGAGTCCATGCTGGCTGTGTCCTGACTTCATGCCAGGACAAACTACCAGAACATTCCTCTGTACTCTGGGGAAGGACTAACAGCCTGCACAGCCTTCATGGTCAGTCTGTGCAGAAGAGAAACTAGTTCAAATACTTGAGAATATAACATCGTTCCAGACTTTAAGTTAAGCATCATAACCCCTACTGAATCCTCTTCTCCTCCATATCATTATAGTCACTGCACTTCAAAACTGTGCTTGCTTTTGTCAAACATGAAGGAGGTGTAAAACTGTCTCCAGTGGGTAAAGCATGACATCAGCACAAAGGCTAGCAGCAAAGCTAGCAATAAGTTCTGGAAAATACGCATCCAGCATGCTCTGCACAGAAGTGGAGCTCTCAGTTGGAAGCTTGTGGGAATTACCCCTTTTGAAATGTGGTTTGAAATGTTAAAGACAAAACAGTAATGTGACAGCTACAAATTTCTACCACTTACGGTTATTTTGATTAAATACATTCACTTGGAGAACTGTGTCAAACTAATGCTGTTGAACAGTATGGTTTATCAGAATTAAGACAATCAAAGTTAATATAAAACTGTTAGTAACAAATCCCACAATCTTTAACTTTTATAGTTTGTTATTGGTTATTGTCCTCTTGCAGCACAGGAGTATAATGTAAACCTGATAAGCCAAGTTGCCTCCCTACACTGATTAATACAGCACAATTGAAATATTCATAAATGCTATCGTTACCTCTGTTGTGTTTCTAACAAGAAAGCTCATGATGATGTTTCCAGGAACTGGAGAATACATTTCATACAGCATATATACGCCTATCCAGTAAAATACTTGCACACAACTGAACCTACTAAGCCTAAAAACCTCAGATCTCAGTGGAATAATTTTCATAAGCAAAGCTTTACAGAGATGATTACCTGTCTAAAAGGCTGGGGGATATGCTGTTTTGGCTTTCTGATTGTTTTTCTATCAAGCTGCTTTCTAGCAAAGAAACTTTATTACTTATTTTGCAAACAGAAGACAGGCTCTAAATCATGTTCTCTTTTATCATTTATTGGTACTTATGTTCCCATGTCCAACAACACAGATAACATCTTTTCAGACAAAAATACAAGCACTAATATACCTGAATAAAACTTTCCATTCTGTGGCCTGCTATGAACTCAAGAAACATGAACAGTGTTCTACCACTGTTTCTAGTTCCAGGATTATGGCATGTTCAGGGTAAAGCTATTCCCCAGGACATAAAAGAGTTTCCTAAGTCAGCTTCCCAGTATGAGACCAGTTAAATCTTCCCAAGGCTTCCACAAACTCAGAGATCCACTTAGGCTGGATTTATGGAACGTTATTTTCAAAATAATGCAACAGGAGAGAAGAAGAGGGTTTCTTAAATACAGAGTAACTTTAGAGAACGTGAGTTTGTTGTTGGGAGTCTATCTACAGGTTTTATCTCCACTGTTCTATTAGTCCACAATGTGGCCAGTTCAGACAGAACAGCCTTTCCTAATATCTTCTGGCTCCTTTAAGTTTGGATCCTCTGCATAAAGCAAAATCCTGTCCCTTAAGAGTACCTGCCTCTAAAGTACATGCTGAAACTAAGAAACTGAAGAAGTCAGCCTTGTTTGCCTCTTCTCCACAGAAAAAGCAGCATTTTGTAGACATACACCAGGAGTTGAACCGTAGGTTTAAACAGCTGGATCTAAATCAGTCTTGACAGTACTTAAAACTTGTCTATGCTAAGAATGAAAATTATTATTTTGATGACTGAATGACGTGAAAGTGACTATCCTTCACCACCCTCCACATGAAAGCTCACTTTACAGTAAGAGTTCCATTAGCTGCACAAAGATACTATCAAGAGTGGCTGGAAAGCTGCCCAGAG